TACTTATTTCTAGATCGTTTTTGCAGTGTAAAAAAGGCAATTGATATAAACTGGAAAAAAAACGATCTAGAAATAAGTAAAAATTCTTAAATTAAGTGTATTTACCCTTAATTTGAGGCGGTAAATGAGATAGTTTGCCAATTGAATTAGTATTTTACTCTTAAAATAAGATTAGATAACATGCAATTGAAATAGGACAATGCAATTTTTATTTTTTATTTTAAATGTAAATTGTCTTGTTCCATTGGCAAAGTGTCTCACTTATCTCCTCAATTCAAGATGAAATTCACTTATTTTTAGAAAAAATTACTTATTTAGATTGACATTTTTGCAGTGCTTCTACTTCCAGATACACTGGAAAAAAATAGAAATCTAGAAAAGTCATTTTTTTCTTAAAATAAGTGCATTTGTTCTCTTTTACCTACTCAAATTAAGGGTAAATACACTTAATTCATTCAATTTTTTGACTTATTTTGAGATAGTTTTTCCAGTGTACACTGGAAATGTTTATTTTTTTTTACCTAAATTAAGTGCATTTGTTCTTGGATTGAGGAGGTAAGAGACATTTTGCCAATGGAACAAGACAATTTACACTTAAAATAAGAAAACTCAATTGCATTGTTTCATTTCAAGTGCATATTATGTAATTATCTCATTTTAAGAGTAAAAATACTGATTCCATTGGCAAATTATGTGATTTACCTACTAAAATTAAGGTAAATCCACTTAATTGAAGATATTTTTACTTATTTCCAGATCGTTTTTCCAGTGAATATCGATCGTCTTCTTTTTTATTATCTTGGATACGTGGCGTTTTTCCCTGGAACCGGGTTTTCTTTGAGGTGATAAAGGGTTCAGTCTTTTCCAAGCAGCTCGGTGTTAAGAACAACTTGACATTTCAGTTTCTCCGTAATCACATGCTTTCAGTGTTGGCTCTGTAGAGGCTGTGCCTGACACAAGGATGTTTTTTTTTTTTAAAGCTGCTTGACATTTAGTTTTCTTTTATCTTGGAAGGGCATAGTTTTTATTTTTTTACTACTTATTTTCTTTCCATCTAATTTTGAGATTTCAAAATATATTTTAGAAAGTAGCTGAACTGTGATTCTGTATGAGAAATGACCATGAACAGCTAAGACTTAAATATATCCTGCTTTTATGTGAGTTCCTTAATCAAGATGTTATGTTAATATTCTTCAAGAGAGGAGGAGGAGGTTTAAAAAGTAGAACCTAATAAACCAGCACCACACCCAGGAAATTAAAAGTCTAATGCTCCGAGTGCAGGAGTGTTGGGTCAATCATGAACATGAAAGCCGGGCCTACACACAGCTATAGCCAGGGGTGGAAAGTAATAAATTACATCTACTCACATTACTGCAATTGAGTACTTTTTATGAGTAATTTGTAATTTTCTGAGTAGTTTTTGAGATTTGTGTAATTTTTACTTATACTCGAGTAAATTTTAACCTAAGTAGTTTTACTTCGTTACATTTAAAACCCCCTCACGTTAAAAAATAGTAAAATAAAAAAATACTGACGGTGAAAAAATTAAATGCGGCCGGAAATTTAAACCCCTGTGTCACGGAACCGACGCTTAATCGCTATTAAAAATAGAAGAAGACTTTTGACTTTTAACAGCACTTTACACTGAAAAAAATCTAAATCTAGATTAGTCATTTTTTCTTGAAAAAGTTGCATTTGTTCTTGGATTGAGGAGGTAAAACAGACATTTTGCCAATGGAACAAGACAATTTACACTTAAAATAAGAAAACACAATTGCATATAATCTAAATATC